GCTTGCTTTACCCTTATCTCGTTATTGCCCAACATGGGAGATTTCCTGTCACGGTACTATCATAATGTGAAAGTTTTACATTATCATTCCTTGCATAAGACATGCTTTGAAAAACAAATATGAATAGGGTCCACTTGAAATTATATTTTCCAATAAATTAAAAGACACCTGTGCTTATTTGTGGTGCTGGATAAATACTAAATTCGAGTTTCGCTTTTTTTCCATAATCAACGGACAGTCGTTCCATCATCAACGATGTAAATCCGCTACCAGTACCACCACCAAAGGAATGGAATATCAGGAATCCTTGCAAGCCATCACATCGTTCTGTTAGTTCTGAAAAACAATTTAATAAGATTTCAAACTCTTTAAATCTAATTAAAAATCATAATGTAACTTTCAAATCCTCAATAAAAGCAATAGGGCAGAGAATTTCCTGAAGCCGCCTATATATATTTTGCTACGAATTGAACTGTTGCTTCATAAAACGGAGAAAAAAGCAAATTTCGAATTGTCTGGTAATCTTTTATAGTAATAAACAGCTAGCTTGTTAAGTTTAATTATTCAATCAGATAATGTTTAGGTGTCAAAAAGTTCCAGTAGTACTTCGAATTCGATCCATACATACATCAATCAATTCTTTCCCAATAGTATAATGTCCGCGAGCATAATTGTTTGCTGCATCTTCCTTTCCGGAAATGAGCTGTTCCGGGTGGAAGAGCATTTTGTAAGTTCCCGTGCGCACTTCATCTATTAAAATTTTGTGAAGGATAATGATGACACCACAACTATTTGTTGATAATCAACACTACGAATAACTTTTTACTGCTAAAGATCTCGAAATGTAACTTACCAAAACTATTTGAAGAGCAAATAATGACTTACCAACGACAGTAGGTTCTAGATCGATGAATATTGCTCGTGGAACATGCTTTCCTATTCAGAAAAAAAGAAAAATAAACAAAACATAGAACAAAATCACAATCATAACTGATAACTTATCAATTTCTTACAAATAGTTCATGCAATCTCTTTTGCATTAGATTTGCATCCAACGGCAGGACAATCTTATCTGCAAGACTGATATTGTCGATGATAGTGTAATCCTTATTACAAAAAGTTGGAGCCAATATAGTCCGAAAAAGATTCTTAAATTTCGAGCGAAATTACCAGCTTGTGTTTCACTGAAGAATGTGTTGTAGGAGCTATCTTCAATACCAAGACTTTCATCGGTTGGTAACATTCCATCCGGCTGAACACCATGCTCTAGGCAGTACAACTCCCAACATGCATTACCAATTTGAACACCAGCCTGGCCAACATGCAGGCTTATCACCTCACGCTGCAATTCGTTGAACAATCGTGCAAAAGGATGAGAACATGTCAAACAGATTTTTAAAGTAACTAGCTTTATAACTGTTTGAGTATGCATATTTTTTTGGAAGATATTCTGCAAAACAAATTTTATAGTATTTTGCCGTTCCTTTCAACTGATGTTTGATTCATACTGTCAATAGAAAGGAAAAGAACAAGAAATCAAATATGGTAATTTACCTCGCAAGTGGTATTTGTGAAAAAGTAAAACATAATGGAGAATTAATGATATGATGAAGTCATTGTTAATTATTTCTTCATTTTCATATCACAAGAGATGATAGAGATTGGAAGTGAGGAGGAAAGAGGAAGAATAAAGTAAAGTTGAGAAGCACGTGACCTTAGAGTTTCATCGAGATTAATAATATTTCGTTTCGTTGTTGGGAACAAAAAATAAAGTAGAATGTTTTCATGTGCAAAGCTGGTTGGAGCATCCAAAAGATGAAGTTATTAGGTTTGAGAAAAACCAATGCAACAATTAGCTTATTTAATATTTTAATACTAATAATGGTATGATACCGTGAGTTTTAAAAAAAGTTACCATTTTCCC